TGCCCGATGCTGTGGCAGTGCACCGATTCCTCTTGGTTTGCTCCGGTGGCAAAGACGTGGCGCTCAGTGATGGTGGGCAGCACGGCAGCACAGGCAGGAGGGGGAGATGGAGACTGGCCTGCGACACTCCCAAGGGGGGTTTCGGTTGGTGGGAGGTGAGGAGCTAGCTGTGCTGGAGCAGCCCGTGGCCCTGTTGTCTCCCACTGTGCTGTGCTGGCTCACAGCAGGGTGGCAGTGAATGTGGTGACAGCCTGGGCTCCTCCCAGGGGATGAGTCTGCTCTGTGATCCCGCTGCAGTTCGAATTTACAGATCACAAAAAAGCACCTTCAAAGAAGCAACATTTTCAGCCCATTCACAAAAAACCCTCCTTAAAATAGATAATTCAAATATTGGCTATCCTTTGGAAACAAAAAGATTGATTTCATCTCTCTTCTATGCTGGTCTGTGGCACAATTTCTTACTGTAAGTGTCCCTTTCCGCTTCACCTTTCGCGTTTCTATTCCCCTATGTGAGGGGAAGCGAGCATCCAGCCTGCCTGCATGCACCGGCTGGAGGGGTTTAATCCCTCCTCAGTTGTTAGCTGTGCCTAAGGGAAATCAGCTCTGGCTTGTTGTGTCCTTGTCTATTCCTCTGCGGTTACATTATTAATTTGCATGAAAACCCTTTGCCAAGCCACAGTTAATGGAGACAGATGATCCTCACATACCTCGTGGCAGGAATTGGCCAACAATTTCATCTGAAGAGATTAAACTTTGATCTTGTTATAAATAATTTTCCCACCACTTGATCAAATGTTTTTGCGCGTGTTGTTGCTTTCTCTTCCCTCATATAATTTCTGTGAATCCATTGGGTGGATGCTGTGCCACAGACTGCTCTTCAGTGGAAGTGTCATTCCTCGTTAAGATCTTTGCTGTTCGATGGATTTAGCTCTGGGAAGATCTTCTGTCTCCTGAGCTCAGGCTATTCCTGAGCCAGCGTACAAGCTAGGGAGGGGTGAGCTTAACAAGGTCTAATAACAAGCCGTTCCTCCAGAGGCTTCTGCCTGGTGTCGGGCAGAGGGCAGGGGAACCTGTGCTCAGGAGCTGCCTCCTCGCCTGGAGCTTCAGATCTGAGCTGGGGACAAGAGGCTGGGTAAGGGCAGCAAGCGCCCCATCCTCTGTAGGGAGTGAAGCAACAAGTCCGTGATACCAACCCATGCCTTAGCCCTTTGTCTGTTTAATACAGCTTTTCTTCTGGGTAAGTGGGAATCTCAACCCCCTACTCAACACTGCATACTCCTGAAGGAACTGAAATATGCATAAAGAATATGGCATAATTAATCTTGTAATCTGTTCAAAATCAACGTCTCTTGTCGAGCTGTCAAATCTCCGGATGCAGATGGTGGCTCAGAATTAGCTGAGCAGCTGAGGCTCAGGAAGTTTCTTGAAACACTTAAATTTTTTGCTGTTGAAGGTGTCCCCTCCCAGGGGCAGTGCCAGGCTGGACCTGCTCCGTCTGCAGGTGCCCAGGTGGCCCAGTTCCTCTCGCTTTGGCACTGTGGACAAGAAGTGACAGTGATGATTAAGCTGCGCCTATCGGCAAGGAGGGGGAGAAGGTCATCTCCTGGGGAGGCCATCTCAGTCCTGTTTGCCTGTAAAGCCCGTCTCAGGTAGGAGCCCCCCCACTGCGAGGAGGGCTGTGCGCGGGAGGGGATGCGGTGCAGGCAGGATGCGGAGTCATGGCTAGCATGGGTGGCTTGTGGAGCCGCTCTGTGGAGCATGCTGTCTCCAGTGAGTCCTGAACCTTGGAGCCCCTCATCATTAAAGCCCATCACAGAAATGCTGGATGGGGCCAGAGATCAGGAGAAAGGGAGACTTCAGGGATGCCTGAAGCAGTGGTGACTTCTTGGTGGCTGCGACGTGATGGTCTCAGGGAAGTCATTTGCAGCAGCAGGGAAGCTCTGGCTGCAGATACGCAGATTCAGAGGAAAAATTAAACAAAGAAACAAGACCCTATTTAGCTGTCAGATCTCTGCTCCTCTAAATATAGCTCCGAGTGCAGCTTTTGCACTGCCCTTCCCCTTCAGCAGTCACAAGAGGGAATTAGCAGTTGTTCATTGTACTTGCAGGGGAAAAGAAAAGATGCTATTTAGTCTGCAGGAGACAAAATTAATACTGTGTTCTTTCTAATCTGGCCCCAGCATGGGACTAAATAAAAGTGTTTGAGGAGTGAACGGAGCTGTTTACCTGCAGGAGTAGAGCTGCATTAGCTGTGTAAATGTACACTCTGGGACGATGTCATTTATATTCCCGGCAGGGATCAGCTTGTATCTTAAAGGGCTTTTAAATCTGTTGCAGATTAATAATGCAGCCAGTGCTGAAATGCATTCTCCATTCTCAGACTATGGAGAAGTGGTTTTTGTTGAATTAGGTCCTCTGAAGTAGACTTCTCTGCGCCTGCTTGTTGCTGGTGCAACAGCCCCAGCCCAGCCCCAGCCAGGAGGGGTGGGGGGGCCACAGGGAGAGCTGACTCTGGGGCGAGGGCACATGCTTGCAGGGTCTGCCCTCCACATGGCGAGAACCAGACCTGGAAAAGCTGCACAGTTAACCGATGAGGCTGATTCTCTGGTTTGGGAGGAAGGACCCTGGGGCAGGAGTTGCCTGGGGCAGTGCCCAGTGCGTTTTCTGTGTTGGGGTGTAAATAACTGGTGACAGAGGGGAGAGGCTGGCTCTCTCCAGCGCGAGCAGTGCTGTGGTGCAGGGCAGCAGAGGTGTTTGACGGCGGTGGCAAGTTCTGTCCATCCGGTTGCCGCTCTCCCCATGCGGGGAGCAGCAGACAGCACGATGGTTGTGGTCTGCTCTTGCTTGCTGTGTGTCTGCTCGGCTGCCCTGGCTCTGAAAAGGTGTGGGGAGAGCGTTCCTGGAGATGGCTGGGCGCAGCAGCTGGGGCTGGGCACCAAAGAGGCTCTGCCTGCTGCGTGGCCTGCAGGCACTCTGGGTTCAACTCCGTCTTTAAGTACTTGCTGTTGTCCCTCTCTAACCCCTTTGGGTTTTGGATGCAGTGGGTCATTCAGTGGAGGGACACGGTGCCTACACCTAGTTTTATGCCTTTTCTGCTGGTACACTGGTTAATTAAGAGGAGTAAACCCAGATACAACGGCATGGAGTTTATAAAATCAGGCAGAGTGGTGAATAATTTAATGTTTGCTTTTTCAGAATAGAGGCAATGTTAAGGGAGCTTAAAATATTGATGGGAAACACATTTTTTTCACAGTGTGAAATGCTTTATAGTCTGTGTGATTTTCTTTAATCCCTTTTAAACTTGTTTGAGGCTAGTACCTGCTTTTCTGGCATGTACTATGGATTCTGCTCTACAGCCCATCACTGAGTGTGATTTTTCCTGATGACTTTGTTAACTATCAGGACCATTTGTTCAGGTTTCTTCAGTCTGTTTGCTAGATTCAGAGATACAGGAGAGCATCTGTGTGATATTTTATTGATGGGAATCATATAAAACAGCAAGGAGCACTTAACTTAGTTTACAGGAGCAAAATCCACCTTAAGCGTCAGGCTGGCCTCAGCTGCCTGTATCACTTGTCGTTTCGTAAAACGTGCAGTGATGTGCACTCATGCAGAGGCCACAGGCTCATGGTGGGGATTACCCCGTGTCCCAGCAACGAGAGCTATGAGAGTGCCCGTGTGCATTTCTGTTTGTGCATGTGGGTCAGCGTGTGTTTGTGAGAGTGATGAAGGAAGTCGAGAATATTTATCTTTTTTTTTCATCTTATTGAAACACGTCTTACATATGAAAATCATTCTCACCACTCCACCCCAAGAGCAAATGCCGTATTACAGCCTGTGCCAGCCTAAACCTGGCTCTGATGAAGTGGGAATAAGGAGCAATTTGCAAGGTTTGGAGCAAAAGTGTGCCAAACTGGTGCAAATTCGGTCATACTCATTATTGGTGCTTGAAGTGCCACAAGAGGGCATGGGGCTTTCCGCCGGTACCGGGGGGGGGG